CCATGACGTACGTATTTGGAGTTTAATACTGATTTTTTGGAGAGTCCCCATCCTATAGCTCCTACCTCAGAAAATCATTATTAACAGTCTGGTGTGCATTTCTTGATTTGGAAAGGTTTTTGGAAGAACAGGGATCTATTCTGTTACATTATTTTTCTTTTTGAAGAAAACAGGTCATATTCTGTTGTTTTTGCAACTTTTTTGTTTTGTTTTGTGTTTTTTGTCATAGGGCTTGTGCACTTGCCAGAGAAAGACAGTGAAAGGGAAAGTGAGAAATCACCCCCAGGGGGATGGCCACACGGGTTTCTTTTCCTCCTTTCTCCTGGGATTTTGGGCATGCACACGCATGTGCCTGGTGTGATTGTCAGCCATGTGGGAGTCCAGCATCTCAACCACTGTGCTACCTGCTGACCCCTACAACTTGCTTTTATCCAGTATTCGAAATATATAAATTTGGGCCATCCCCAGAGCACAGCAGTTACGCACAGTGCATAGGGAGTACATTCTGCATGGTCAGCTGTGATTCAAATCCTATTCCTGTGACTTGAAAAACATGCCAGGTGTTGGGAACCAGCAGTTAGCATAATGGCTATGTCGCTGGACTCCCACGTAGTCGACCGCGGTTCGCGTCCCGGACCCGGTGGCTTAAAACCCATGCTGGGTGCGTGAGTGTCCAAGATCCCGAGAGGAGAATGGAGAAGGGATTGCGGCGTGGCCATCCCCTCTGGGGGATGATTTCTCGCTTTCTGTCTCTCTGTGTGTCTCTGTCTGTCTGGCGAGCGCACGCGCCCTGTAGTGAAAAATCTCTAAAAAAAAAAAAAAATGCCAGGTGTGTGCTAAATCCTGACAGGATGGAGAAATGGAGGAAAAAGGGTTGCAGTGTGCCCATGCTCTGTCAGAGGGGGGATGGTGCCCTCTTTTTCTCTGGGGAGCATACATACACTCTGGCAATAATAAATCAATGAATGGATAAAATATGTCAGATGTTTCGATGTCAGAATGTAGGCTTACTAATTTTTAAATTTTTTAGTGAAGCAATGTATGCTTTACATATTTTCAGAAATATAAGCAGTACAGAAATATACAAAAACTAACTCCACCTCTCCCACTTGCCCGAAGTAATCCTATTTTTATGTATGTATGTGTGTATGCATGTTTACTTGTTTCTTGGTTTGGTTGTTTCTTCTATGACCAAGAGAGAGAGACAACATCCCCAGCAGGGTCTTGACGCTGCAGTCCTCCTCACCCCCTTTATTTTTGTTATTAATTCAAACAGTTCTACCCAACAACTTCCCCTTTTAACTCAGTAATATCACAGCTAGATTTCTGACTCAGTATTTATACCTATACATTATTTATTAGATGTTCACATAGTACTCCTTTGTGTGAATCTATCATATTTTATTTAATCAGCTTCCTGTCGATGGATCAGTATTTCGTGCATAGGAAATTTGCTTTAATATACGTAATTAACAGTATGTTAGCTTGTTTTATAGGTCTGATACACCAAGGGCATTGGCATATAATAAGTTAAATCACTTAATATTAAAAGTCGTATACTAATAATTTTATTTTCTCATATATCATTCTTATATTTTACAGAAGATTTGTCTACCAGCATCTCTGTATCTAACTGTCAGATTCAGGAGAATGTGGTAAGTAATAGTTACAGCTAATGTGCAAATTGGGTGATTAAAATAGGTTCAGTAAAATGTGAAAATCTTATTAGAGAACTAAGTGCACAGCCCAAAGCGTCAAGCAATTTGCCTAAAGATACTAGAATACACATTGTGGGTGATAACTTTCCTAAGGAGTCTTGTTTTATGGTGGAAAGTGAGACAGAGTTTTTTAATAGAAAACTAAAGTTAACTCTTTCATTAGAGTATTTTTGTTAGTTTGTTTTCTTTTTTGTTATAAAGTATGTACGCTTGCCAGGGAGGGACAGCAGGGGGAGGAGGGGAGTGAGAAATCACCCACTGGGGGCATGACCAGCAAAACCCTTCTCCATTCTCCCCTCGGGATTTGGGTGGGTGTGCACATGCACCCAATGTGATTTTCAAGCTGCCAGCTTTGGGACTCAAACCATTGAACTGCCAGGTGGGATCCATCCACCCTTACCTTCACACCACCTACTGGCCTGTGACATTAGAATATTACAAAGTGGTAGACTTAGTTCAAAGGGAAGGGAGCGATTACCTTTTATTGAGTCAAATGGGAAAGCTTCCTAAAGGAACGAAACCTGAGATGTGCCTGGGGGAAGGAATGGAATTTTGGCAGAAGTGCTGAGTGAGGGTGGAGGAACAACATATTTGCAAGTGTGAGCGAGTAGAGGGAAGCAGGAAATGTAGGACTTGTAAGGAATGGTGAACAGATTATGTTTGACCGGTGTATGGAAGTACATGGAGGGTTTTATAACAGATCAGCAAACTTCACTACAAGGGACCAGATAATAAATACATTTTAGGGTTTGCAGACCAATTGCAACTACTGAACTCTGCCTTTGTAGCAAGAAAGCGGCAATAGGCAATACATAGATGAGTGAGCCGAACAGTGTGCTAATAACTTATTTGCTGACACTGAAATTTGAAATTCATGTGGGATTCACATGTCACAAAATAGCATTATTTTGTTTTGTCTAATCATTTAAAACTTAAGGACCAGGCCAGCAAGTGGACTGGAGGTTAAGGCACTGGATTCTACATGGCTAACTCTGCAGTTGGAGTCCTGGACCTGACGGCTTGAAATCACACTGGGCAAGTGTGTATGGGAGCCCAAAATCTCAAGACAAGACTAGAGGAGAAGGGATTGCAGCATGGCCATCCCCTAGAGGGTCATTTCTCACTTTCCCTCTTTCTCTTTGTCTCTCTAGAGGTACATGTACCCTATAGCGATGATAATAATAATAATAATAATAATAATAATAATAATAATAATAATAATAAATAAATAAAATTAAGGACCTGACTGGACCTGTGGCCTCTTTGTTAAGGGAATTGGTTCCCATGTGGCCAACTGTGGTTTGAATCCTAGTCTCCAGCAGCTTGAGAAACATGCCAGGCACATGCACATGCCCAATATCCTGACCACAGAAAAGGGATTGAGATGTGACCACACCCATTGTGCGATGTGTTCTCATTCTCCCTGCCTTCTGTCTCTGACTCTCCAGTAAGTGAACAAGCCCTCTAGCAATTTAAACAAAATTTAAAGTGCATTCTTAGATCAGGGGTTAGGCATAATGAGACAGCATGCTGAATTTAGCCCATAAACCATAGTTCACCAACCCCTAGATTAGAAAGGGTAAAGGCTGGATAAATAAGTGAGCTATATATAATATCTCAGATAAAAATTTCTCTTTCTTCTTCACTTGGGGCATCTAGCTGCTATAGTTATCTGACTTATAAGTGTCATTTGGGATTTCTAAGATTGCAATGAAGAGTGGACATCTAGTAGTAGTACAGGAGACAGACAGCTTCAAGAAGACACACTCTCTGTGGCCGTTGTCCTGGTGGTAGGTAGAACAGACAGCATATTCTTAGAGAGAGAAGTGGGGGATCCCAAATAATGAGTACACAGACTTTGAGTGGTCCCACAGGAACTTGAAAATATACCCATTTTGGCCAAGGAGGGAAAAAACTCAAAATTGATTGGTCATTGATAAAGAATCCTTTCTAGGGGTCAGCAGGTAGTGTGGTGGTTGAGGCACTAGACTCCCATATGACTGACATGTTTGAATCCCAGACCTGGCAGCTTGCTTTCTCACTTTTCTTTTCTCTGTTTCTTTCTCTGGTCACATTAAAAAATAATAATAACAAATGGAATTAAACAAATAAATAATTCTTTAAAAAAAAATAAAAGAATCCTTTCTAGCAGTTGTTAAGTATACATTGAATGCCCCCTTATCTAAGTTAATTAGAACCAAAATTTCATTAAACAAAAAACTGAGTTAAAGTTGGAAAGCACATAAAAATGGTTCTGACCTCAGATTTTTATTCTAACTTAACACAGACCACGACAGTGTTTCAGTCAGTGATGCACTGCACAGATGATGGCAGTCCCTTACCTCACACTAGGCTGGGCCCTGGAGCCCCGGTGCGAAGTGTAGGCTGTGCTGTCCAGGTCTGCAGAAGTACGCTGTGATGTTTGCACAAAGAAACCGCCTAGTGACGCAGTTCTCAGAACATACCCTTGTTGTCAGATGACACGTGATTTACACACACACACACACACACACTCATTGGCTTTCGTTGCATGACTGAGGCTTTGTCTTTAAGTGTAGGTCTGCTAAGTGCAGTGCCGTGTTTCTTTCTTCAGTCAGGACTCTGATGCAGCTCTGACCTTAAGTGCCCCAAGTTAGTGCACGGATCTTCTAACAGCAACACACACTACAAAGCCGAAGACAGAAGGAATGGAGGAAGCCTGAGGAGTGAATTTCTGTTACAGACTCTCCCCCACATACTCTTTTTCATCAGCCTAATTCCAATATTATAATTTTTTGAGTTTTTATTTCAAATCAGATACCAGATCTCTTTCATGGCAAAGTAGATTAAACTTTTGTTCTTAATTTTTATATCAATTTTATAGATTACTACTTAATAAATGTAAAAAAATTTTTTTAGTTCAAAGCATTTTTTCCCCTAATATCTTCTTACACAATACATTCAGAGATGTTGTTTTTATTTTCTTTTATTTTTTAGAGAGATTTTTGCTATAGGGCATGTGCGCTCATCAGAGAGACAGAGACAAGAAAGCAAGAAATCACCGCCTTGGGGATGGCCATGCTGCAATCAATCCCTTCTGCTCCATTCTCTCTCTTCTCAGGACCTTGGGCACCAATGCACACACACATGCCCGACTGGAGTTTTAAGGCACCGGGTCCAGGACTCGAACTGCGGTCAACTACATGGGAGTCCAGCAACGTAGCCATTAGGCCACCTGCTGGTCCCAGAGATGTGGACATTGTTGTATAGAGGTAAATAATACTGTTTGCTTCTTTCCAATAGGACATCAGTTCTGTTTACCAAATCTTTGCAGATGAGGTGCTTGGTTCAGGGCAGTTTGGCATCGTCTATGGAGGTAAGCTGCTATAGCCTTTTACACATTGTACACATGGAAAAAATGTTTAGTTTAGAAAGTTGCTAGTTATTTTGTCATCTCACAATTTTGCCATGTGACCTTTTTCTCAAAGGTTGAGTTATATCCTTTCAGCGAAGTCCTTTCACTGCAACTGATTCCTTAATTTCAACTGCAAACTTGCAAACTTTAAAAAGTAACAGAGAAGGAATCAGAAAATTAATTTTGCAGTAGTCTTTAGATTCCTTTTTGTAGCTCACACATGAAGAGGTTATATGAGGGGCGGGGAGGATGGTTTGAAATTCATGTTGAGCTGTGTGGGTTTGTTCATTGAAGTATACCCCCTACTCATTTCGAACATAAGTGGCATTGTTTGTCTACTCTTGACACAGATGTTCTATCAGGTATGAAGACCTGAAGTCTCATCCAGCTCTGTGACTTAAGAGATTAGGGAAATCATTTAACCTCATTATGCCTCAGTACCTTCTTCTATTTAATGGAGCTAATAAAACCTGAACTGCATAGCTCACAGGGTTGTTAAGATTAATTAAACCTGATGTGTAAAAAGTATTTTATAAGCTATGACCCAAGGTGTAAAAGAAACATTTGTCACCCTCGCCAAGATTGTCACAAATCTGCTAGCTCCCTTTCTGTCTCTAGTCTTACCCTCATTTCACACCATTCTTGGAGTGAATCCTTCAGAAAACTCCCATCTGACCTTAGTATTACCTCACATAGAACCTTTAAGTGGCTCAGAGTCATGGCCCATTTCCTTCGCAGGGCATAAAGGCTGCTGGGATTTCCCCCTGCATCTCTAGCCTCCTGTCTGACTGCAACACTGTCTTTGCTTTCTGTCTTCCAGTCATACTTACGTGCTCCAAACATCTGTCCCTCTAGAGAACTTTAGTCACACATCAAAGCTCAACTAAAGGGATTCCTCATTGAAGATTTTCTTGTTGCCATCCATCAAATAAAACTGACTGTTCCTCTTTGGTACTCCTGCTACATATGTTTTTCAACCATAGTAACTAAAACATTGGAATTTTTTACTATTGTCTTCCTACTGAACTTTATTTGAGGGTAGGCTGAGAGATACCTGGTTTTTTCTTTGTGTTTCCTGACACCTAAGAGTATGCTTGACATGCAACATTTGCCCAGAAAACATGGTCAGTTTACATGTGTACATAACACCTATGGTTTGCAACTTCAAATTGGTCCGTTTTAAGACTAGTGACATCTTCTTGTTAAAGAAACAGAACTGTATGAGGTGCTTTTGGCTTCTCAGCAGTATGCGTGGCTCTGTCTTTTCACGTAGTTAGATTTTTATGATCATGCCCTCAGGACAGGTCTGAGTTATTTCCCAATAAGTGAATAGCTCTGTAGAGAACGGCAAGTCACAGGCAGGTTAAAAGAACAAATACCAAAAATATACCTGTCATTTTCAGTGCTTAAGCCTTAGCATCGAAAACAAGGCTTAGTACGTAATACATTCGAGATAACTACTTAATTTATATTAATGAATGAGAGAATGGATATTTATTACAAACTTCCACCTTACAGATCTTTTCTGTCTAGATTCCAGAATAGAGTAACCTGGAGTTTGGGAATGTAACGTGTGGTTCAGTCACTTTATGCTGACTCAGTGAGCCAAGAATAAAATGAATGCAGGGCCAGCCTCATAGCACTGTAGTTAAACATGGTGCATAGGTGGTTCCCACATGGCCAACCACAGGTCTAATCCTGGCCCCAGTGAAAAACACGCCTTGTGCCTGTGTATGCCCCAAATCCTGCTGGGGTGGAGAAATGGAGGAGAAAAGATCGTGGCATGACTGTGCCCCATTGAGGGGTGCTTTCTCTTTCTTTCTCTTTCTGGTGAGTTCACATGCCCTCCGGCTATTTTTTTTTTTTTTTAATGAATGCATTAGTACAATATTTCTATGTGATAAAATCTGTCAAGTCAGGGCAGTTAACTGTCATTTACCTAACAATGTATTAGGTCATTAGAAAAGTCATGACGTATTTTTCTGTGTTTCTCTGTGCAAAAACGCATCATGACTTTTCTGACAACTCAGCAGATTACTTTTCAGCAGACAGGTTCATTCCCATTTAATGATGTTTCAGATAATGAAACTGCCTTTATTAGGGACAAATTCTATACAAAGAAAACAATCTTTTTCTTAAGGTGAGTCAAGGAGTGTGGAGAAAGAACAGAAGTAAACCAAAGAAAACTAAATACAAGAGTAAATACATACAGATTTCTTTCTGTCTTCCTAATAAAGCTTTGTTTTTGTGTGTGAACTGTCAACTTCTTTCTTTTCTATTCTTTTTTTTAAATAGGAAAACATAGAAAGACTGGGAGAGATGTGGCTATTAAAGTAATTGATAAGATGAGATTTCCCACAAAACAGGAAAGTCAGCTCCGTAATGAAGTGGCCATTTTACAGGTAAAAAAAAAAGTGGTTTGTGTAGGTTTTAATTTTAGATTTATTTGTTTCTAAAATTGAGTCTAATATGCAACTAATAAGATGTGGTTTTTTATTTTGTTTTGACCTTATGACTTTTGGCTAAAAGGCTGGTAAGAATCTGAATTAACTGCTTAAGTATTTTTTAAAGAAACCCAAATCAGATAGTGGTGATGTAGGAGTTATGCGGACTGCTATTATTTTGTTGTAAATGTGTTTGCTTAGAACACATTTTCATAAGTAAATCTTTTAATAAAAGAGTAAAATGTTATTAATTCATCACTCCAGTAGCTCAAAATACTTTGATACTTCTACTGGTACATTTTGTTAGGTCACTATTGTACCCATCAATTCTCACAAGTTATTTTCATACTAAATTTAATATAGCATTATCATTGTCGATTCTCTACAAAATGTGTGTATGAAGTATTTACATTTTATAGTTAGTAAATGGCTTACTTTGTGCTGGACTCTGTACTGAAGCGTTCTCTCAACATCACCCAGCAGGAAGAAAGCAGGTTCAGGGTTTGAATTTAAGTCAGTTTCCAAAACACATGCTCCTCTACTTTATCTCACTGGGCCTACTGTGTGTGTGTGTGTGTCTTCAAGTGTTCCCCTGTGGTGTGTAAACTCAACCTATATATATAGTATAAAGATGAACTTTAGTGTACTTTATATGTGAAATATTATATGTAATTTTGTTAGTACAATCTGAATTCATGTGGCAAATACATTTTTAAAAGGAAACGTGTTTCAGATTACACCTTTACTGAAATAGTTCCACAAGACAGCCCTGTGAGCATCTCAGCCAGCCTTTCACAGGGATTGAAAGGATCCTGCTATGTCCCTTCATGCCACCCCTGCTCCTCTCCCTCTCTTGCTGTGTCACCCTTACTTGTCCATCTTTGCCCTATGCCCTTGCTGTGCACAGTCCTCATTAAACACACCTGAAAGGCTGCTGATCCCCTGTGGTGACCTTGGCGCTGTGGTCCTCGCCTGTAGCACCACTGGCTACAGTCCCCACTTTTTTTTGGAGAGGTTGTTTGCTATAGGGCACGTGCGCTCGCCAGACCGACAGAGAGAGACATAGAGACAGAAAGCGAGAAATCACCCCCCGGGGGGATGGTCATGCCACTATCCCTTCTCCTCCATTCTCCTCTCGGGATCTTGGGCACACATGCACACGCGCCCGGCGTGAGTTTTAAGCCACCAGGTCCAGGACACGAACCGCGGTCGACTACGTGGGAGTCCAGCGACATAGCCATTACGCTAACTGCTGGTTCCCTACAGTCCCCACATTTTAATAAGAAAGGACAGAGTTAAAACTGAGTGTATTATCGAGACCATGGTTGGCCTTTTTGGTGGCAGGAGGAAAAAAATCGTTGAATTACTGATGAGCTCACAGTTTACCCAGAAACTTCTAGCCTCTCTTTAGTACTTGGTGATCGGCTTTGTATTTCCAGTTTAACAGAAATTGGCACATGCCATTTTTGGACATATATGACTTTTCTGTTTTAAACTGAACCAAAATCTCTTGGAAAAGTTTCCACCATGGACACCACAGTCAAATCAAATCTCTTTTCAACTGACAGCCACATGATTTCTTGTGTTTGTCAAACATGCCTAACTGTTCCTGTCTCAGGGGCTTTGCATTAGCTGTTCTGTCTAGAATGCATTCCCACTCAAGATATCTTCAAAATTTTGCCCAAATATCATTTCCCTAGTAAAGCTTTCACATTCTTTTCAGCCTTATACTGATTTCCCACCCCTGCACTTTCTTACCCTCATTGCTTTCCTTTTCTCCATACCACTTACCACCTCCATACGAGGTAATTTACTTGTTCATTTACTATTGTCTGTCTCACCTTGCTAGAATTAATAAGTCCTATGGGACAGGAGATCTTTATCAGTTTTGCTTATTAATGGATCCAGAACCTGGATGTACTAGGCACAGAGCAAATACTTATTTACAACTTATTGAATAAATGTATTTATAGGAGAATGATCTACGTTTCTAACTATCAGCATGGCCACATCTTGAAAACATGTTACTGGGTAGGGAAAAAAATGGGAGGGGGGTACTTTTGGTTTTACAGGATATACCATATCATAAAATACTTCTTTTGCTATTGCCTGAAGAGCATGCAGCATTTTCTCCTTCTCTTCTTGGAATCACCCAAAAGCTACAAGAACAATGATTATCAGAAGCATAGAGTCTCTCACAGAAGAGTTCAGACCTACAAATTTGGTAGAAAATGCACTAAAAACAGCAAAGAGGAAGCAGGGTTGTGTGCAGGAACAGGTACCACAGTAACAACTGCTAGTATTGGCCCTTTCTGAGGTGTATAGCTATGGTATCCTCCCTAGATCCCTTCCCCAAATAAAAGAAAGCCAAGGGGTTGTGATCTGACAAGCTTTAACTAAAGAGAAAGCACATAAAGTGACATGAAGAAGGGCACTGTGAGAGTAGAGTACAAACCACACTACACCAAATAACACTTAGAAAGCAAAGCGAGAGAAGATGCAAGAAACAGACATGCACATTAATAGTGTATAGTATGTGGACACTTTTAGAGTCCCACAGAGAGAGAATGTGAGCTAAAATGGAACCAGCAGATGGCGTAATGATTACGTCTCTGGACTCCCATATATAGTCAACCCCAGTTCAAGTCCCGGATCCCATGGCTTCAAACTCACGCTGGGCATGTGTGCATACATGCCCAAAATCCGGAGAAGAGAATGGGAGAATGGAGGAAAAGAGATTGTGACTGGCCATCCCCCTATCTCCCCTGAGGAGTGATATCTTGCTTGCTCTCTCTCTCTCTCTGTCTCTCTCTCTCTCTCTCTCTGGTGAGTGCATATGGTCTATAGCAAAAATTTCTCAAAAAGAAGAAGAAGAGAATGTGGGCTAAAATGAAGGTAGTTGCAGGCCACACAGTGGTGTGGTAATTAAGGTGGCAGGATGCAACATGGCAGACCATGCAGTTTGAGTTCTGGACCTGGCAGTATGAAAAACACACCACGCATGTGTGTGTGTGTGCATGTTCATGAACCCAAAAGGAGAGAGAAATGGAGGAGAGAGGTTTATGGCATGACCATTCCGCAAGGGAAATGCTTTCTGTGTGTCTGCCTCTCTCCAGCAAGTGTACATGCCCTCTGGCAAAAAAAAGTTTTTAAGTGAGCCCTCTTAGCATAACCAGGTATTCACATAAGGGGGGACTATCGTAACAAAAATATAACAAAAATCTGTAATTAAATCTGTAATAAAAGTAGTTCATTACTTGGGTCTGTAGAGCACATTTAAGATGGAATAGAGAGAATGAAGCCAGGCTATTCAAGATCTTAGGAATTTAGATTTAGATCCAGAAATACAGAGCCATTATAGGTTTTTGAACAAGGCTGACTTGACAGGTTTGTTTTTGAAGAAGGCTTTTCTGCCAGAAGAATATAGATTGCTTTCTTTATGAGGAGAAACAGTATTGCATTCATCTTTGTGCATCCCCAGCCCTCATAACTTAGTGGTACTCAAGGAACACTGGTGACGGGAGTGGAGAGGCGCTGAGTCTGAGAAGAGAGTGTAATGAAATCGAGACTTGGATAAAAAATCACATTAGGGAAACCATCTCTTATGCAAAGGTCTCCACAAATATAATCCCCAAATGGCCAAAGCTTTGTGTAACTGGCTAAAAACTGAATGGAAATTGGTGTCTATTCCAGGACAGCATAAAATTAGAGCAGAAGATTCAAAATTAATCACAAGAGTAACAAGATGAGAAGGGACTAGCCATAGTGAGATGTGCACTGCTAAGACACTGCTCTGCAGGCTGGGACCACATGGAGAGGCCTGGGTTTCATTCCTGGTCCAGCCTAACATCCTAGGGCAGTGGCATGTGCCCACCATCCTAGCAGCTCAGAAGGCTGAGACGGGAGGATCACGAGCTCGAGGTTGGCCTGGGCAAACTAGGCCAGTGTGGGACACACCAGTAAACCCAGCTAGGAGGCTGAGGAAGGAGGACTGTGACTTTTCTTTAAACACACACACACACACACACACACACACACACACACAACAAAAGGAGGAAAGAACCAGTAGGGGGTGAGGACAGTTGTATAATCAAATTAAGAAGATTGTCTCTCCCCTCAGTGCATTCACGCTCCTGTACACAACTTGAGAAATCATAATCTATGATCCTTTTTATTGGTCATAGCTTTTTTTTGACGTTTGTGTTTCTAATCTCTCTCTTACTGTGTCATGTATTACACACTCTCAGTTGTAGCACATGGTTAGACATCTGCATAGGAAAACTACTTAAGTTGGTCTATGAATATCCTATAACCCCTCCAGAACTTGCACCACCCTGGGATTGTAAACCTGGAATGTATGTTTGAAACACCAGAACGCGTCTTTGTAGTAATGGAAAAGCTGCACGGAGATATGTTGGAAATGATTCTATCCAGTGAGAAAAGTCGTCTTCCAGAGCGAATTACTAAGTTCATGGTTACACAGGTATGTTAATTTTTTTTTTTTTGAGAGACTAGAGAATAATGAAAAATTAAGAGAATCAAATAGCAGTGCTTTTACATACTGGAAGATTGTGAAAATTATTAGCTTTGAAAAACAAAACGTTTTTAGCTAAATCTTGAAGAATTATAGTGGCGTTTTCAAATTATTACACCAATCGGGGAGTCACATTGGGTTCTAACTGATTTTCTAGGCATTGAAAAATATCTTTTCTTTAATGACAGATACTTGTTGCTTTGAGGAACCTACATTTCAAGAATATTGTACACTGTGATTTAAAGCCAGAAAACGTGCTGCTTGCCTCAGCAGAGCCATTTCCTCAGGTGAGATATTCTCCAGAACCTCTTGAAGCTTCTAGCAACATCTGTGAAGTACCTTCATTATGTGGGTCCATCTCGTGGCACAGTGGTCATGTGCTGCCCAGTACAAGTGGATCCTACGTGGGTACTACAGTTCAAATCTGCAGCCAGGCCAGCCCGAGGCACGCTGGGCCTACATGCAAGTGCCAAGACCACAGGGGCTGGAGGACTGCAAGGAGGGGATTGTGGCATGACCTGCTGCAGGTGTTCCTGTAACTCTCTCATGCGTACACTCACAAGTTCTATCGTGAAAAGAGAAAAAAGTGTCCCAAGGTTCAAAATGCACACTGTCTTAGAGAAATAAAGTGTTTAGCCTATAACTGCTAGTGAGGATCGGTTACTAAATCATTTGAATTCAGTTTATTGGTTAATTATGCTCATTAAGACTCTCACTAGATCTCAAGGAATAACTTGCACATCAGCTCTTTACAGTTCCTGTCTCTTTTTGGGTGGGGAGAATCCAAACTGATTGGCATGAGGTGCTCGGGATGAGTTCCCCATAAATTGGAACAGACTGAGGGGTATTACTTGAAACGGGATAGGTTTTAGGTCACGGGGAGTCATGAAGTACTTTTCTGTGAAAATGCGCCATGGCTTTCCCAACAACCCAATAGTCGATGCAGGTAGCCAGTTCATTTTCCTTTTAGAGTACTATACTCCAGTTTCATTCAGACTGACGTAAGCATTTCCCACCGCCAGGAGCACTGATGCACCTGTATGACCTTATGAGAGGGACGTGTCCTGGCCATGAATGGCGTACTCTGATTTTCTTTTATATTCAGTCAAGTTTCACTTTTTAAAGTGTTGATCTCAATCTGCTAGATAGGTTTCATAACCTACTAAGTGGATAACTTCAACTTTCTTTTTAAGTTTATTACTTTCATGAGAGAGAAAGAAAAACATGTACCCTGGACAGGGTCTCCTCACACAATCCCCCTAGACTTGCAGCCAGCCAGGACCACAGACGTGTTCATGCATGTGTCCTACACGTTTTAGGTCAACCCAGGATCCGGGGTCTTCTCAGTGGCCGCCATATTGCAAGTGTCGTCCAGCCACCTGCCCCACTGCAGCTGGGCCACAGGCCACATTTTGACACAGCTGTGCTGAGATGTCTATGTTGGTAGTGGTACCTGCTGCTGTTTTAAATGACTGTCATTGACATTTCCTCCAATCAGCTAGAAGTATCTATTGCCAGACTATTACTTATGAACAATTAGCAAATGACTAGAGTAAAAACAACAAATAGCTATTTGCTCAAAATGTCCTGAAAGGAAAAAAACGTATTTTAAAAGAATCTATCAACTCTTCTAAAGTAGCATCATGTTCTTTCCTTTGTAATAACCTCTGTGCCGAAAACTGATTCTCTATCATTGTGAGACCAAAAAGTGCTCCTTAACAGTTGGTGTACCACTTTCAATAAACTGCTTCCATATATGATCTCATTTGATCTTTAAAATAGCATGTAGGCAAAGGATGTGTATCCCTATAGCTAAGGAGAAAACTCCCAACTTTACAACCTCTCCTTTAGTGACCCATGCTGCTCCCATCAGGAGCAAAGGGAAAAATAATGTTATTTACTTAATACTTTTTTTTCTGTCCAAGTGCTAGCCATGGCCACACTTCTTTATTCAGTTGCCAGACTGCAAAGTCATCTTAAACAGTTGGCTTAAACCTGGCATTTAACAAATACTACCAAACATCCACATTTCTTCAGGGTCAATACCCTTACCCTTCAAAGACGCAAATAGGAAAGAGGCCAAACACAGTGATGACACAGGCAGATGCCTTCACAAACACACGTGCCAGCGGTCTGCAGCCCAGAAACAGCAAGCAGCATTTGAACACACCTTGACCTCTTTGTTCCCCGGTCACTGTGCATACCATTGTTTTCTAGAAGCTAAGTCCTTTCTCTGTTCATTCATGTTAATCTTTTTCTGAAGACATTTTACAAGTCAGAACATTTCCTCTGGAAGTACGTGGCATTTGCTTGTTCGCTGTGAACATGCAGTCATCAGTCACCAGTGTCTGGACCTCTGGGAAGGATGAGCTGCGAGATGCGCATCCTGGGCCCTGCCAAGCTCGACACACTCCCAGATTGCTTCCGAGAGGAAACAGTACAGCATGGCCACCTTCAGATAGGCCAATTCAGTTCGGAACATCCAACTAGCAATAACGTGTTGTCCTGTAGCACAGAAAACAGGACACTCTTACTCCTTGGAGAAGTCTCCAGCACTACCCCACTGCTGTCCACAGTAAATTATCTTTAAGATACCTCCATTTCATTTACAGTGTCTTTCAGAAGAGAGGTTCTAGGATTAAGCAAAATAAAGGATATTTTTAAATGCTGTTACTTATTTTTCATTCGGCACTTACTGAGTACCTTTGTGTATCCCAGCACTGTTAGGCCCCTAATGATTCAGAAATGAAGTAGGTAATTCCAGCTCACAGATGCTGTAAGGATGATCTCCTTACAAGACAAACGATAAAATACCAGCACTCTATTTTATGGTTTTTGTTTTGTTTTGTTTTGTTTTGTTTGTTTGTTTGTTTTGCTGTAGGGTGTGTGCGCTTGCCAGAAAGACAGAGACAGGGAGACAAAAAACAAGAAATCACCCCCCCAGCGGGGATTGCCATGCCACAATCCCTTCTCCTCCATTCTTCCAGGATCTTGGGCACACACGCACATGCACCTGGTGTGTTTAAGCCACTGGGTCCAGGACTCAAACTGCAGTCAACTGCATGGGAAGTAGCCATTATGCCATTTGCTGGTCCCTATTTCATGTTTACAAAAAAAGAAAAAATTGAACCATGTAACACCAGTCTCGTATTTGGCTCCTGGAAACTAGAACTCAAAATTTTATCTTTTAAAATAAGCACTGGGAAAGCTCTTAATACTATTGTAGGATTCACAGGGCTATTAAGTGTATCTACCTTTAGAGAAACAGGTATTTTACAATTTCCCTATTAATAGCTATTTGATATTTGTAGTATCATTGGCAAGTGTGTTGAAATGAAGCAGTTATCATAATTAAAGACAAGAATGTATACCTATATACATTATATACTATTAAGTATAAAATAGTATATAATAAAATTTACTTAATAGCATGTAAGATTAACATACCCTTGAATTTCCAGGTGAAGCTGTGTGACTTTGGATTTGCACGCATCATTGGGGAAAAGTCTTTCAGGAGATCTGTGGTAGGAACGCCAGCGTACTTGGCCCCCGAAGTTCTCAGGAGCAAAGGTTACAATCGTTCTTTAGATATGTGGTCAGTTGGAGTTATCGTCTACGTAAGCCTCAGTGGTACATTTCCTTTTAATGAGGATGAAGATATAAATGACCAAATCCAAAATGCTGCATTTATGTACCCACCAAATCCATGGAAAGAAATTTCTAGTGAAGGTAAAATATGTATGTTGGCTCTGTGCCCTTTCCTCTCAAAATCCTTGGGATTCTAAATCTGTCTGTCTCTTCTGACTTCCTTTTGAATGTCTCCCAGTCATCTTCCAAATTCAATTAGTTGCCAATTTTAAGCACTCTTCCTTACAGCTCCCAGGCATAGGACTAATTCAGGCCTCAACTGCCTTATTCTGAAACTAGTAAAAGTTATCTTCTTGATTGTTTTTCCCATTAAATTTTCCTTTTTGGTCCTTCCCAATCATCACTGCCAAACCCATCTAGAGAAGAAACTACATCCATCTCATTCTGTCCCAAACATCTTGACTTCCTTCTAATCAGTGTGGCTATAGTTCTGTGGCAGAGCCCAAGATCACTTCAACCCTCATCTCCCACTGCACCCGTACACAACTCAATTATAGCTTGTGTGTTCTCTACTGAGCTGTTTTCTGCATTCAGCGTAGGCCTTTCCCCTGTATACAATCCCTCCTCCCCGTCATTGAAATCTTTCCAATCCTTCAAACACCCTTTAACGTGGCTCATCTGTGAAGTCATCTCTTGATTGTCCCTCCTGTGAACTGTGTAAGATCTGTTTAGGCCAATAGGCATTTTATTTTCTTAAGTATTCTGTCTTTTCATGATTCACTTCTCCAATCTTCAGAACAAAATCTATAAGTTCCCTGGAGACCTCTAGCTCAGGCCTTACCTAGAGTGAGCTTCACTCATTCTACAGACACTGTGGTTTTCCTCTCTTCTGTGACCTCTGCTGGGAACCATCATACCTGTGTTTTTCCTACATGAAGAAGGCTTTTGACTTTGCAACCCCTGGTTGCATCAAGAATGACTTGGCTGGCTTTCTTTAGCTTACTGACACCGTGAGGAAGGAAGAGTACACTGCTTAAAGCAGTAGTTAACAGTCCCATAAAACTTAACAGTACCAATTGTGGGGACTATCTGCCCCACACCCCCAGATTTAGCCAACTCCTATAACAAGTAGTGCTCCTGTTTTTCCAACAGTTCTGGACCAAATCATAGGGAGTGTTAAATACTGCATTAACCTGAGAAAAGTTTGAGGAATGGCATATAAAGACAAGAGCAGGTTAACTTGGTAACAAAGAAAGCTGACTGAAGAAGTCCACAGAGTTTCTGATGTTACCAAAGTCATCTTAGAGCTCTAGGGCAATATGCTCTGTAGACCTCTTGTATGAGAATCACTTGATGAATTTATCAGGGGGAAAAAACCCCCCGGCTATATCCCAGAATTTCAGATTCACCAGCGGGATGATACCCAGGAATATATATTTTAAATAAACATCAGTTCTGATGCACATGGTAGACCAAGTTCAAAGGACAATGGATTAAAGTCTGAATATTTGAAACACAAAAAGAAATTCATCAAGTACTTACAGAAAAGCTTTGCTAGTTTGGTGATATATAGAGAACAAGACTAGTGTGGTTTAAGTTTTACTTGACTCATCCCTGAGTCTAAGCTTTTATATCAGTATAAATTTTATTTCAGTCAGCATATAGTTAGAAGGTTGCCTTGATTCTGACATGGGTCCATTTCTCCAAATAACTAAATAAAATGTGTGCCAAGATGTCATCATATACACTAAAACACCCTGAATCTATTTGTGAAAACCTATTGAATGTGAACTTCTGGAAGTAAGTTACCAGCTCGATTTAATCATATCTGTGATGAAAAGGCCATAACTTTGGGTCCCTTTCCCCACCCACCCAGGGACTAGAGAGCAACACAGGATCACTGAGGAGCAGGGAATCAGCCCAGAACCCATGTTTTATTCAGCTTGAAATAACAGCTAATGCTTGCTTAGTGCTTTTGTGCTAACCCCATCTCAACCTTTTAAGTTGACTTCATGTTCTCAACTTCATTTTACAGAAGAAAAGAATTGAGGCATAGCAGTTTAATAACTGACTCCTTATCACTCAGCTGTGAAGCGACAGAGCCAGACTTCAGCACAAGCAGTCTGACTACAGTGTATTCTTTCAACCTGTACTCTGTTTAAAATGAAATTTTCATACACACTTAATCCAATAAACATTTATGAATCACTTCACATATGAAAACATGTCCTTTAGAAGCAAAAACTCCTCTCCCCTGTATTTTATGGATTAAACTGCCTTCAGAGTCACAAATGTGAGGTGCTCTATACATATCAAATTTCACGTGTCTAACTTTTTCCTCTTAGCAATTGATTTGATAAACAACCTGCTTCAAGTAAAGATGAGAAAACGTTACAGTGTGGATAAATCTCTTAGTCATCCCTGGCTACAGGTAAAAATATGAGTATTTCTCTTAAGCAGTTCTCATTTGAGCAGTTCACTGTGATTTTCTTACCTAATGAAAACACTCTGAAATCAACAGATTCTAAATATTTCTTTTCACAATGTGTCCAAGTACTCTTGGAATCCATACCGTGGCTGAATCTCTGGGTGTCATGCAGTACAAGATTCAAATTAGTATTAATAGACTCCCACGAACTGAAAGCAATGATTTCGCCCTTTGATAGTTCCTTATGTGTATTAAACTTTTTCTAAGATGGGAGTCGAATACCCCAACCACGATTGCCACCTGCTGGCCCCTTATCAAATATGTTTTAAATGGCTCAGCCACAGTAGCACACACTGGACAACTGCTGCTTGGCAAGCTGAGGCCATCTGGAAGGTCTGGGTTCAATTTCCAGCCCAACCTAAATAAAAAATAAAGAAAGATGGACAAAGTGGCACATTTGTGTAATCTGCTACTCTGGACGTTGAGGCTGGACTGCGGACAGCAAAAACTGCCTCTGCCCACCCCTGACACACAAAGACACACACGTATATTTTAACTGTACATTAAAAGGTTTATTTTTCCATTGAATTTGTTAAAAAAAAAAAAAATTTACAACATGTTTGGCTTAATTCTCCCAAAAGTTACTGCACAGAACTGTCCAATGGTATCCCCAGCCTTCAGAGTAAGGAGTAAGGGCAGAATTAGTTGCAAAACAAAGAGAATCATAGTCTCCCCAGTTATGAAATCTATCCTGATATAAAGTCTAGTAATTTTCACCTAATTTGAGGAGGAAGGTATAGACCTCTCCTGGCATGGAACAGTATTGTAGTGATTGTTATTGCCTCTCAGAAGCTTGAGGCCAGTTTTTAAATTTCAGAAACTAATTTCTTTATTTTATTAAACTCCAAATTCAAATGAGTATGTATCTTTAAATATTTGTAATTTAAATTACTACAGTTAGAACTTATTATAAAGCAAGTACTTATAAATTTGAGCCGTTAATTATTTGACTAGAATACTAAGCAATTTAAAAAAAGGTTCACAGTATTTCTTTTATGGTTTGTAATCACCTCCTTTGTTTTCTAGGACTATCAGACTTGGCTTGACCTTAGAGAATTTGAAACTCGCATTGGAGAACGTTATATTACACATGAAAGCGATGATGCTCGCTGGGAAATACACGCGTACACACACAACCTGGTATACCCAAAGCACTTCATTATGGCTCCCAATCCAGACGATATGGAAGAAGATCCTTAATTATCAATGAGCTAACTTCAATAAGGCAGAATTCCATTCTGGGACTGGTATTTTACTGTGTAACTGTTCTTTGTAGCTCGTCATGTGCAAGGACATGAGGAACTAAGATAAGGAATCAGCGACACTGATACGGTAGTTTATGAGTAGGTACCGGAGGGGAATCTGAGTCAAAATCAGAATGGAATCAAGATGAAGATTTTTATAAATTTTTGTAGCATAAGCAATACATGGTTTTCTATGTTTCCTAATACTTCACGTTAGTACAATAGTCCATTTAATTTATCTTCCCTTTCCTGTTTTTACATTTTTTTAAAAAAGGGAAAAAAGGCAAGCTAGCTTGTAGATATTGCGTAGCTTGACCAAATCCTCTAAGAGTTATAAGGTTGATTACCACAAAAGTTTGCATTTCAGACTTAACTGTGAGGCTACCAGTATGTGACTGACTATAAGGGCTTTTAAACATTTGTTCAAGCAACCATCGAGGCATTGAGTTTTTCCTAGATGCCTAGAAAGGGAGCTCGCGGCTTCCTTATCTTTGTTAGGTCAATTAGGACTCAAGAACAGTGATTCCTAACCATTTTAGCATAGCAACTCTGAATATGCCCTCTACAACATAAGAATTTCACTTGTCACCTTTTGTGCATATATGTTGCAACAGCCTCTAAGGTCATTTAAGACAAGCGATGCTACAAGGAGTGGGAGCTGCTGGTCTAAGCCTGGTTACGTTAGTCTTCCCATAGCTCGCCAGGCTGCCGAGCTGTCATGCACCCACTGGCACCCTGGTGGCACCACAGCTGGGTTCCATCGTTCAGTGGGCACAGAACTGTTTATCCTTTACCCAGGGTTGAGTAATCTGAGGGAGAAAATTAAGTATATACCAAAAGGAAAGCCAGTGCACGGTCAGTTAATAACAGTATCCTTTCTGTCTCCCCTCAGCTTATAGGAGGGCTTTGTGGATAAGTGGAATGTTCTTAAATCAGTGAATTTAAGCAGTTTGTGGGAGTACATATGGGTGGAGCATAAAACAGTTTGGAAGGGGAACTACATTATCAGCATAGCAAATGAAAAGAATGAAATGAGAATTTTTAAAATTTCACCTCCAACAACCAGTTATTTTAAAGAGTTATTAACATTTTCCCCAGAGTAAGATTAAGATTGGGGATTGTCTACTTGTAAGGAATCTAGTAGCTTTTTCTTTCTTCATTCTTTAGTAATCATTGTTAAACCCAAAGTCTTGGCTCCGGTATTATTACTGTGCTGGCCTGGGCAGGCGACAGTCTTGAGTCTTTAGTTTCCTGACCTGTAAAATGAAGGTTGTAATTCTTGCCTCTCCCTTCCTCAGTGTTGTTGTGAAGATCAGCTATGTATGAATGTGTCAATAAGCAAAAAACTAGGTTTTAATAACCATTGCCCCATGAATTTGAGGTAGCAAAGGAAAAGAATGTTTTTGTATTATGAACAGACTAAGACTTAGAGAGTGATCCCTGAATCTACGCTCTTATCCAGGACCAAAAATGTCCGTATGTTTTCATTTATGCTCACAAAAGCCATGTGGTGTACTAGGAACCTCATCTTACAGGTAAGAAAACAGGCACAGGAACACGTTCACAGGTTAGTATATGAGTTTAAACCCCAGCAGTATTGTGGCAGTCCTTATCTACGCCTATAGCTCCAGCAGGTATCACACCTCTTGCAATAACTGGTTCTCCTTTAGAGGTTCTAAAGACTAAACCAACTTAATGTTGAAAAAAAAAGTTTTTAATGTATTTTCTCTGTGGTAAAGGGTGACTTCCTCAAATTTCTCCAAAGTAAGTCTGTTTATATAAATGTGCACAAAATGGAATAATAATGAGTCACTCGGCAACCTACTGTGGTTTACTGCATAAGGTAAAAATTAACTGGAATGATGTTCATCTGCTCTACTTATATAATCAATTTTTCAAGCCATGAATTTAATTGCACTCTTTTTTTGTTTTTGTTAAATGCCTAAGATGTTTTCTAAAAATTTTTGTAAAGGCACTGTCAGATAAAATGGAGTAATTACTCCAGATACTGTATAACCTGCATAAGCTTTTGTCTTGAAGTCAAGTTGTGTTTGTATGAGAAATAATTGTTTGCTAAAAAACATTTAATAATGTACAAAGTAGTCTATAATGACACCATTCAGTACATTTTTATATTTTTTGTTACATCCCACTTTTTGTAAATATCCTCAAAGAAGCTTGATAATAAAATGTATTTCTGTATCACCATACTTTTCCATGTGAGTATATCTCCAGTAGAGGGATCCAAGGAAATTGTACTTGGTTGTGTTATTTTCCCAGGCCTTGGTAAGAGAACTATTTTGGAAATAGTACTTGTTAGCAGAATTAATTCAATAAGGGTACTAATTTCTCTTTATCTTTCAAAATTTTTTTGAACTCATTAAATTTTACAGTAAATTTGAGTTAATTATCTGGAAATCGCATCTCTTTGGATAAAAGCTTGTAATATTTTTCAGGTACTACCAGATATTCAACTGTTAATACCGAAAAACTAAAGAAAAGTTAAAAACTTGGGACCAACAAATGGCGTAACAATTATGTTGCTGGACTCCCACATAATCAACCACAGTTTGAGTCCCAGACCTAGCGGATTAAAAACTCACATGCCCAAAATCCTGAGAGGAGATTGGAGAAGGGACTGAAGCATGGCCATCCCCTCCCCAAAAGATGGTTTCTCATTTTCCACCTCTCAGTCTCTGTCTCTCCAGCGAGCACATGCAACATATAGCAGAAATCTCTCTTAAAAAACAAAGTTAAAATCCTGATTAAAAATAATTGTCTAGGTTTTAAGATTTAAGATACTGCTGGGACCAGCAGTTGGTGTAAGGGCTATGTCGCTGGACTCATATGTAGTCAACCGCAGTTCAAGTCCCAGACCCCATAGCTTAAACTCACACCAGGTGCCTGTGCATGAGTGCCCAAGATCCTGAGGGGAGAATGGAGGAGAAGGGACTGGTGGGTGATTTATCGTTTTCTTTCCATCTTTCTGGTGAGCACATGCGCCCTATAGCAAAAACCTCTCCAAAAAAAAAAAAAAAAAAAAAAGATTAAGACACTGCCTGGTTCTTCCCCCATAATAATAAAAATTAGCACACTTTTGACAGGGGCCAATTACAGGCACTTTCCATCTTTAAAAATTTTCTCAGCCAACTCTGAAAAAAAAGGAATAAACACAAAAACGATTAAGAGAGATTCAGGGACCAGCAGGTGGCGTGGTTAAGGCAGCTGGATCCCACATGGCCAACTATGTGGTTAGAGTCCTAGATTCAGTGGCTTGAGAATCGCGCCAATACATGTGTGAGCACGTAAGAGAATGGAGAAGGTACTGCGGCATGGCCATCCTCCCTGGAGAGGGGATTTCTCACTTTCCTCCTCTCTGGGGAGCACACATACCCAATAGCAAAACTAAAAAAAATTTAAAAAAAAAAAAAAAAAAAAAAAAAATGGCCCAATCTGGGCAGCACCTGAAAAACAAGGCCTCAGGCTGGGCCTGTTGTATCGTGAGTAAGGAAGTCAGATCCCACATAGCCAACGAAACGGGGCCAGACACCATGGCGCGAAAAATACACTGGGAGTCTGTGTGAGTGCTCAGAATACTGAGGGGATAAAGAAATGGAGAAGGGATTGTGGTGTGATCATGCCCTACTAGGGCGCTTTCACTCTTCCTTTCTCCCTCCTTCCCCAGTGCATGTGCCCTCTGCCAAATTAAAGAAAAACAAGGCCTCTGATCTTTCTTTATAGTAAGACAGTATGCTAACCTTCTTCTCAGGTAAGCGGAATCAAAACAATTTTCATCATTTTGCAAATGAACATCCAATATAGTTAAGCCATAAATTCAAGACATATAGCTACTTTTTTTTCTTTTAATCTCCCTTATAAATTTGTGTTGCTAAATTTAACAGCTCCACATTTCTGGTATTAATACATTCTATGAACCAAAAATGAAAATTTAATATGGTATGAAAGCTTGACATTTATCTGGAAATAAGGGTGAATTAGCTCAATTTAGAAAAGTATTCCTCCGACATGGCCTATATTCACCCTAATACATATTGAAACTAGTGGGTTGTTGGGAAAGTCATGACATATTTTGTGCAGAAAAACAGAAAAATACATCATGACTTTCCCAAAGACCTAATGTATGTCAGATTACTGTTGACTTTTATATTGAAGATTTTTGTCATCTAATTTTTATTTATAAAATTCACAGAAGAATGGAGTAAAATTTTCAAGTATTAAGTCTCTCTGGGCCCCTCAAACTCATATCCAGACTAAGAAACTTAATAGTGATTACTGGGCGGGACCAGCAGTTGGCATAATGGTTGTGTTGCTGGACTCCCATGTAGTCGACCATGGTTCGAGTCCCAGACCCAGTGGCTTAAACTTACACCGGGTACGTGCACATGTGTGCCCAAGATCCCAAGAGGAGAATGGAGAAGAGATAGCAGTGTGGCCATCCCCCGACTGGGGGGGTGATTTCTCGCTTTCTGTCTCTCTGTTTCTCTCTATCTTTCTGGCAAGCACATGCGCCCTATAGTAAAAATCTCTCAGTAGATGGTGTAATAACTACATCGCTGGACTCCCATATAGCCGACCGTGGTTCAAATCCTGGTCCCGGTGGCTTAAACTCACACCAGGCACATATGCATGCGTGCCCAAGATCCCAAGAGGAAAATGGAGGAGAAGGGACTGTAGCGTGGCCATCCCCCCTGGAGGGTGATATCTCTCTTTCTATTTCTCTTTCTGGCAAGCACACACCCTACGGAAAAACCTCTCCCCCCCAAAAAAAAAATAGAAAAAAAAAACCTCTCAAAAAAAAAAAAATAGTGATTACTGGGCATCCTTTCCTTATTTTTATTTGTGGATTCAAATCACAAAACAGAAAATCAATCTGCACAGTATATTTGTTTCTGTGAAATTATTTACAAGTATTAACTTAAATGTAGTTTTCTCTTTTAAAAAAGAATCATTACAGAAACTTTTGCATCCTACTTTTTTCACCAAGTACATTTTAGGGGCCTTTCTATGTCAGAACATACGGCTCTACCTCTTTTTTTAAAAAAAGAAATTTTTGCTGTAAAGTACATGCACTCACTGACAAGACAGAGACAAAAAGTAAGAAATCATCCCAGAGGTGAGATGCCCACACCACAGTCCCTTTTCCTCCATTCTCCTCTCGAGATTTTGGGCACGTGCACACACGTGCCCAGCATGAGTTTTAGGTCACTGGGTCTGGGACCTGAACTGCATGCAGTCAACTAAGTGGGAGTCCAGCAACGTAACCATTATGCCATCTGCTGCTATGTCACTGGACTCCCATGTAGTCGACTGATATAGATGAGGGACCAGCAGTTAGCGTAATGGCTATGTCACTGGACTCCCATGTAGTCGACTGTGGTTCATGTCCCGGATCCGGTGGCTTAAACTCAGGCCAGGCGCGTGTGCGTGCGTGCCCAAGATCCAGAGAGGAGAATGGAGGAGAAGGGATTGTGGAGGGGCCATCCCCCCTGAGGGGTGATTTCTCGCTTTCTGACTCTCTGCCTCTCTTTGTCTTTCTGGTGAGCATACACGCCCTATAGCAAAAAAAAGAAAAACGACAAACCTCTTCCCCCCCCCCAAAAAAAAGTAATATATAGATTTGTTAAGTCTATCCTCTGTGAACCATTTAGTCTGTTTCTAGTTTTTATTAAACCCAGAACTACTCAGTTTACTTTTTAAAATAAAGTAGAGTGACCAGCAGGTGGCACAGTGGCTAACGTACTGGATTCTCATGTGGTCAACTGCAGTTTAAGTCCCACACCCAGCGGATTGAAGCATGCCAGGCACATGTGTGTGTGTGTACCTAAAATCCTGAGAGAAGAATGGAGAAGAGATTAGAGTGGCCATTCCCTTGGGGGGTGGGGATGATTTCTCACTTTCTGTCTCTCCTTTTCTCTCTGTCTCTCCAGCAAGTACATGTGTCCTACAGCAAAAAATCTCTTAAAAAAAGACAGCAGAAATATAGCAACTTGCTTTAGCACAAAAGAAGTTTCATAATAACTTATCTCCTTAAGCTGAGAACACATACTTGTACCAAGAATCAGTCACACCCCTAAAAAGTTCCATAAATTTTAGTTTGTCGTATATCATAAGGGCTAGTCTTTTTTTAAAAAAAAAAGATTTTGGCTATAGGGTGCATATGCTTACTGGAGAGACACAGAGAAATCACCACCTCCCCCAGGGGGGATGGCCACATCACAGTCCCTTCTCCATTCTCCTCTCGGGATTTTGGGCAGGCTCACACACGTGCACAGTGTGAGTTTTAAGGCCCCGGGTCCAGGACTTGAACCGCGACTAACTGCATGACAGTCTAGCGATGTAACCATTATGCCATCTGCTGGTCCCTCACAAGGGCTAGTCTTACAATAATTGGTTAATCTGTATATAAGAGGCTCTAAAAAGATAAAATACTTATTTTATTCTTATTGGCTTATAAAAAGATCAAATACTCTTAACACTTTGGTTACCTGTGATGTACAAATGCGTTCTTTATTTTGATTTCTTAGGCAAACAGGGGTTTAAAAAGTCCACACTGAAATATCACCGCCAGGCAAGCTCACCAAACCCAGCTACAGGTGCTGCTGAGGGTTTGGACTGGCACGACTTCAGCTGACGACTGCCACCGTGAAGTCTCTGGTGAGGCAGCAAAGCAAAGAAGTGAAACCTTTCTCCCATCTTCTCAGGATTCATTAACATAGTATACCCTTGAAGTAACTGCTGCCTTACTGATGGCTCATCAGATTTATCTAAAAGAATCTGAAAAGAACAACATAATTTTTTTGAGAGAGAGATTTTTGCTATAGGATGCATGCGCTCACCAAAGAGACAGTAAGTGAGAAATCATCCCTGGGGAGATGGCCACTACGCAGTCCCTTCTCCATTCTCCTCTAGGGGTCCTGGGCACGCATGCACCATGCACCTGGCATGTGTTTTAAGTCACTGGGTCTGAGATTCAAACCGCAGTTGACTACATTGAAGTACACGATATAACCATTACACCATCTGCTGGTCCCAAGAAAAAAAATTCATAGCAAAAATAACCTTTAGAAGAATTCTAGTTATATGCAACAATATTAATGACTTAAATAAAACAATTCTTAAAATGTGATAGCTCGTTACCTGAGAATCATGGGGTGGGATTAAAATTTAAGTTACTGTAACCTAAATCTATGGATTTGTACTTTTAATAAATAACCCCAGCTGGTTCACCTATTAGAAGGTTCGTAGAAGAACAAAGAGAACATTTCCACCCAAGAGCATGGTTTTCTTAATGAGCAGGAACGCTACCTGGGTGTCTTAGTTCTACGGAACATGACAGTGCATGAAGCTCACCAGCCGCACCACTCCCAGCTATTCATTTACACTAAACCCTGCAGTGTTGGAGGGGGAAACCAGGATCTGACTGGTCAGAAGAGCGTTAAGACCAGGTGAACCTCTTATTTAAAATCATTTTTGAAACACTATAAAAGTAAGTAAACCATTACCTTCAGCCGGACGTCAATACCCATATTTCTTAAGAATGTTTGTTGTGTTACTGGACCCAGAGAGGCCACTTTTCCCTGTGCCATTCTGCGCAGATAACTGAAGTCCACGTCAGCTGTGAGGTCTGCTGTTCCCGGGGCAAGTAAGACATCATGGAGCTTGTGGCCACAAAACCCCTTGAACACAAAGAAAGGAGTTTTTCCCCTCGTCACGATTAAAGACATGCTATCACAATAGCACCTTTTGACATGCCAAGGAAAATAGGGCCTAAACATGTAGCTTAAGGACTCTCCACGCAATGGTAGCCTATCAAATGAGATACCCAATATCAGGTGCATGCTAGAGTGCTAGAGATGCGCTCCTTAAAATAAAATTAACGTTTTCATTAATGCTTGTGGTGACACAATACGGGGCAATCGCATTAACTCCCTGGGCAAGTTCAGGTTATCATAACCGAGGCATTTTCTACTGTATGTCCATCAATGTGCTGAAGATCACCTGAGAACAGGTTACTGGACCCCACCCAGATCTGCTCACTCAGAACCCTGGAGGTGAGGCTAGAAGGTAAGCATTTTTAACTTCAGGATATTCTTAGATATAATAAAGTTCACTATTAAAAACTACAGATCTAGAAAATGACTAAGTTACATGTATTACAATGATAGTATAGTAAGCAGAATTAGATCCTATTCAAAGAACAGTAAGAAGGGATGTTTAAGAAGGGCAAAAGAATACATCTGGATAGAAGAATGGAGATGGGATTGTGGCGTGGCCATCCCCCCAGGGGGTGACTTCTTGCTTTTTGTCTCTGTCTTTCTGGGGAGTGCGTGGGACTATAGCAAAAACCTCCCTTAAATTTAAAAAAAAAAATGACATCTGGAGAGGAAAAAAAGGTAATGTTGAAAATACGCTAGAAAAAGTTTGGTAACGGTACAAGGTCAAATCTGCAAAAAAGTACCAAAAACAAAACTCCATAAAGCTTACAAACTTCTGTTTCTATTATTCAGACACTTACTATGATCTATGCAAACCTAGGTTCCACAGCTAAGGGAGAATGTAATCCATTCGGGCCCTGCAGAAAGGAAAACTGGACAGCAGGCTTAAGTTTAAGAGTGAGATCAGAGGTCAGAGCTTAAGGCTAATTATAATAGGAATAATATTAGTTACCAAAAAATATAACAAAGCTAGAAAATACTATCTTTGGTAGAAACCAAAGATAAGGTAAAGATCTTTAATGACCTTCAAATCTAACAATGAAATCTTGATAAATCTTGTACTGAATTATACATACTCTGAAGGTATCTGTCTTTGTTCCATCGTGACCATAATCAGCTATCAGTGCAGCTCCCCCAGTTAGTTCAATGCGCTGAGAAAGTTCCTGAATAATAACACCAGCCTCGGGACACACTTCCACATGATCCCTTGTTTCTTCATGCTGGTAAAGAAATAGTTTAAAGAATCAAAATACATCTTTCAAACAACTGTTTCTTCAGGGTTCTTCTATAATGAATCTTAATAAAAATTTTGCCAGGAGACCAGCAGTTGGCATAATGGCTACATCACCGGACTCCATGTAGTCGACTGCAGTTCGAGTCCTGGACCCAGTGACTTAAACTCATACCGGGTGCATGTGTGTACATGCCCAAGATCCCGAGAGAAGAATGGAGGAGAAGGGATTGCAGCGTGGCCATCCCCCCTGGGGGGTGATTTTGCACTTTCTGTCTCTGTCTCTCTCTTTCTGGCGAGCATATGCCCCCTATAGCAAAAAACCCCTCCAAAAAAAAAAAAAAAAAATGCCAGATAGACCCCGCACTCTCCTGAGAAAGACAAAGAGGGAAAGTGAGAAAGCACCCCCCATGGTAGATGGCCACACCACAACTGCCACCATTTCCTGTCTCTCTCCCCCTCTGAACTTTGAGCATATATGCACATGCACCCAGTGTGCCCCACAAGCCACCAGATCTGGGACTCAAACTGCGTTGTCGGCCATTTGGGATCCAGCCACCCCCATCAACATGCCAAGAGCTGGCCCACGATGAATATTTCTTGATAATAATAAAAATAATTCCATCTCAACTTGACCATGTTCTTTATACTCAACTTTTTTTTTTTTTTTTTTTTAGCGGATTTTGTTATACGGCAGGGGGGGTGATTTTGCTATACGGCAGGTGTGCTCGCCAGACAGAGACAGACAGAGAGATAGAAAGCAAGAAATCAACCCCCCCGGGGAAATGGCCACACCACAATCCCTTCTTCTCCTTTCTCCTCTCAGATCTTGGGCATGCATACGCGCCCGGCTGAGTTTAAGCCAACAGGTCTGGGACGCGAACCACAGTCGGCTACATGGGAGTTCAGCAACACAGCCATTACGCTAACTGCTGGTCCCAAGACAGTTGTTTTGAGAAATTTTAAAAATGAGAAACAGAGTAATACACACAAAATACTCGAGAAATGTTAGCTGTTACTATTACTTTGCTATAATCTGTATTCCACTGCTTTCACAGACATTGAACTATCCAGTAGACAATAGGAGACTAAAGTGAACAAGGTAAGAGAACTGGCTGAGTAAACACTTTCTTTCTAATTTCATCCCTTATTACATGACATAGAGAAACAACCTCAGTCCTTCTCCTGACTCTAGATCCTCTGCGCTTGTCACTGTTAATAAAAAGCATGTCGTATGTTGCTAGCAACTGCCCCTGTAAAGGAACGCTAACTTAGTAACTCAGAAAATGAGACTGAAGATTCTACAAGTAATAAAAGAACTTAGAAGAAGGAAAAAAACGTATTCCTACTTGTATGAAGGCTTCTGCCGGGGTAGCACAAGGCGCCAAAACAAACCTTAGTTTATCAGAAACTTGCGGATCAATATCAACCAATACTTCTCGCCATCCTTGTGGTGTTTTCTAAACACAAAATAATACATGAAAACAATTTTTTGCAAGTTCTTAAAATTGCCTCCACTAAAAATACTAACATTCTCCTGTTACCATAAAAAACATTTACAGAGCATTTTACTACCGAAAATTATTTAAATACATATTCCTTGCCTTCGAACAGTGTGAGTGGACTGGTACATGCAAACTATTGGGCTATTGAAAAGTCACGACATATTTTTTTTGTTTTTTCCATGCAAAAATGTGTCATAGCTTTTCTGACAACCAATATTAAAGCTGTAACGGAGAAGTCCTTACAGACACGGAGCTGTCAAGGACAGGAAAGTGAGCAACATTGAAGGTGCCCCCAAATGAAAACAGACTCAGGAGGAATAACCAGAAGCCCTGGTGACAAATTCCTACCTGATGAGGAGAACTGCTCTTGGCCTTTGAAGTTACCAGTACACACACACTTCCTCCCACCCAATCTTCAATCTCCCCACACAGACAATGAAGAAAATGTCTAACCTTTGAAATTTTTAAAACTTTGCTATCACAGGGACCAGCAGATGGCCTAATGGTTACAGCGCTCAACTCCCATGTAGTTTACCACGGTTCGAGTCCTGGACTCGGTGGCTTAAAACTCATATGTGCATGCATTTCCAAAATTCTGAGGGGACAGTGGAGGAAAAGGGATTGTGGCATGGCCACTCAGCCGGGGGGGGGGGTGATTTCTTACTTTCTGTCTCTCTGTTGAACAGACGCACCCTATAGCAAAAAAATCTCTCTCAAAAAAACATAAATAAAATTTTTAAATTGCTATCATAAATCCTTTATTGCACTATAACCATTAACCATCACATATTCTATTTCAGGAAAATGAAAAATTATCTCTAGTATTTTATTTTTGCTTTTCAATGATGTATGTTCACCAAAATCCCAAAAGAGTTAGAAATCACTTCAACAAGCAATGTTCACACACTGGGTAAGCACCGTTAGATGTTCATTCTTGCAACACAAGGCCTTTCGCTATTCAACTATAAACATTATTTTTCCCACCAATACCTGAAACTTATGCACAGGAAGAACATCAAAAAATTCATGTGCAAGATAAAAGCTGTACCCTATTTAAAAACAAAGGGAAAAAAATAAGTTTCAGTATTTTAAGGCAATTATTCCTTTTGAACATTAACCTTAAAAAAGAATATTCCTAATTTTCACTTCTGGACGGATGATGCTTCCATAATCTTTACTACCCGTGACTTACCTGTTATTTTAGGGAAAACCTAATCTATGGACGAAGGAATAATGATTACTATCCCACATAACAGGGTCAGAGAACTGAAATACCTGAATTATCAGCTAGAGCTCTTATTCATCAGTAGGCCTGAATGAAATCAGAACTTGTATTTGTTATCTGGAACAGAGTTTGAGTTTCATACAATCATCTGGGAAGGCCGAGGTAGAAAAACAGCTTTCGGTTCCTTCCCCAAGCTCACACCACAACCTGCTTGCCTAACTTTCATCAAGTAAGGATTTTAAGGACCAGATAAACGAAATCCACCTACTAACACCGTGTCCCTCAGCCCCTGCCGCCCTGAACTGCTTCATCATCAGCTATAGGGAAATACTACAAAGTACCACTGAGATTTATATTGTTTTATTTTGCTTTTTACAAAACTATGAAATTTACTGCTCCTGAATGTTAGGCAAAAATTTTCCCCTAATACTCTTTTCCAGAAAAAAAGTTAGCTATTCCCTATGGGTAAGGGGCCTGACAGCAGGAACTCATAATCTTTTCTATCACTATGGAAGTTAAGGTCACTTAGCACTACTGTGAGGAGTTGTTATCAAAACTCTTTTACTGGGGCCAACAGGTGGTGTGGTGGTTGGGGCGCTGGACTCCCACACGGCCGACCACAGTTCAAGGCCCAGACCTGGCGGATTATTTTCTCACTTCCTCTCTCTCTCTCCCTCTCTGGTAAAATAATAACAATAATAATAAATAAATAAAATTAGATAAATAACTCTTTTTTTAAAAGGTTCATTAATCAATGTAATTACCTTTTGGAACATCTTGCAGATCTTGATACCAGGAAATTGGAATCCCAGACTTAGTAACACCTTTCATGTACACGGGGGACCCAGCATCGCGCTCTAAAGGGATCTTCTCTTCAGTCAGTGTCAGTGCTTGAGTCTCGCTCAATTTTTGGCTCACCTCTACCAGATGTATCGAAATGTCACAGTTTTTCAGCACGGATCCAAGCTGACTGAACACCTAAAACACAGAAAGAAGAAAAAATAGCAAACAAATGCAATGGTAAGTATATTTTAGGTTTTCTAACCATTTAGCACAGTCGTTTAGTCATATCATGACAGAATAATGGTTTCAGAGAGGCTTTTTTCCTACCCAAGGCACCCTGGCGCCTGGAAGAGTCATTGCTAGAGTTAGTAAACATAATCTATATAAGAACAGCACAGTGCACAACCTGGTTACCCAGTGACCAATTATGATTAACACATGAACACAAGATTCTTAGCATCCAATAAAAACAATGATTGACATTATGGAGTCTAAAATGTAGACAGTCTTGATTTTATCAAGTCTCTACTTGTGTTTTACCAATCTATTAATTAGAAGTATTTACAGCAAAAGCATAAAATACATCAATACTATTTTTCATTTAAACATAATTTTCACTGGTGATTAGCCCTCTACTTTTAAGATATAGATATACAGATACAGACTGATAACACGAGCAAGTTAATTTTTCCTAATTTAGCTTTGATATATAACTATGCATAGAAGGACCTCCCGGGCCCGGCAGGTGGCATGGTGGTTAAGGGTGCTGGACTCCCACACGGTCAACCACGGTTCAAGTCCTGGACCTAGTGGCTTACTTTATCTCTCTCTCTCTTTCTCTTTCTCTTGAGCTCTGTCCCTCTCTGGTCAAATTAAATAAATAAAGTTAAACAAAATGATTCTAAATAAAGAAAAACCTCCTAACAGAAAATCCTTCACAAAGTAGTATCAAAAATAAGTCTGTAAGCCAACACATAACAAGGAGACTATGGTGGCTAGATTCCACATGGCCGACTGGGCAGTTGGTGTCTGGGACCCAGCAGCATGAATTCACACCCAGAACATGCATATGTTCCCAAGATCCCTAGAGGAGAATGGATTGTGGCATGGCCCTCCAGGGGTGCTTTCTCATTTTTCTGTCTTTATCTCCAGTAAGCTCACATGCTCCATAGCAAAAATAGGAAAAGTTCAAGTCAGCCACAGTGGTCTAGCTGTAACACAATACTCTGCAATGCTGAGGCCATATGAGAAGGTCCAGGGTTCCTGTTTGGAGGCCTCTGTGCATGCCTGGGGCATGTGTATCTACGGCTGACTGCAGCTAGAAATAGGACTGTTGTACAGACCCTGCTAGGTCTGTCTGCCTTTTTCTTTCTCTCCCTTCCTCCCTCTCTCATAAAAGGAAGAAACTTGGGGCCAGCAGGTGGCGTGGTGGTTAAGGGCACTGGACTCCCACAAGTCCCGAACCTGACAGCTTGCATCCTCACTCCCCCCTTCCTCTCTGATCAAATTGAAATAAAATAAAGATATAAAATAAAATAATTATTTACAAAAAGAAAAGAAAGAAATTTTTAAAAAAGAAGTTCTCTTTTTTTTTTTTCCTATAGTATACATACACTTGCTGGGGGACAGGTCTGAAAAGTTACCCCCCAGAGGGAATAGCCTTGCTGCAACTCCTTCTCCGCAGAATTTCTGGCATGCGCACACACATGTCCACCATGATTTTCAAGCTGCCGTTCTGGAACTCAAACCAACCAATTGCCCATGTGGAATTCAACACAGTAACCTACACGTCACCTGCTGGCCCATTTCTTAATTTAATGTGGCTGAAATTAATAACCTGTTCTTTCGTAGCTTCTACTTTTCATGTAATTAAAAATACCTTCTCTGAGGCCAGCGGTGGTATAAAGCTTAAGGTAGATGGATTCCATTTGGTCAATTGCACAGTTCAAGTCCTGGACTCAGTGGCTAGAGAAACATGCTGGGGGTGTGTGTGTGTGTATGTGTGTCCCTAAAATCCCAAGGGGGGTATAGAGGAGAAAGAACTGTGGCATGACCATCCCCCGGGGGGAGTGATTTCACTTTCCCTCTCTCTCTTTCTCTGTGTCTGGCAAGTACACACATCCTAAAGCAAAACAGAAAACAAAAACACACTCCCCGTACTCAGAAGACAAATATATTTTCCTTTAATATCTTCTAAATATTTTATATTTTTAGTTTTCACATTTAACAAGAAGTATTTATTCATTACATTATTCTGACATTATATTTCAGTCAAGAAATATAAGATTACAAAGATAGGATTAAAAGCCAAGGAAATCAACAAAGTTTGCAAACTGAGTCAAAAGGAGTAAGATTCACTTATATCTTATTAAGACTTTAAGACTTTTTTTTTTTAACTACCTACCCTCAAAATATCTTCCATGAGGGAACCCCTACCTGGGCCCAGTTCCACCAGCTGGAAAGCTGTGTTTTTTCCAGCAGCCATCCATTCACTCACGAACCATATCCCTAGTAGCTGTGACAAGGAAAAAAATACATGAAAGGATTAATAAAGGATAAAAGTATACCACATACAAAACTCCACATAAATATGCACTTTAACCAGAAAGGAAAATGTCTGCAAACAACCATAACTATGTTATTAAATATGCATATAGGGGCCAGCAGGTGGCATGGTGGTTAAAGGCGCTGGACTTCCACATGACCAGCCACAGTTGGGCCTTGTGGCTTGCTTTCTTGCTTTCTCTCTCTCTCTCTGTCTGAACAAACTGGAAAATAATAATAGTAATAATAATAAAGTTAAATAAAGTAATTCTTTTAAAAAGTAAATAAATATGTATATAAATGTATACACACACAAAATTTCACTGGGATTACATCACAACAGACACCACTCAGGAAGCTTATAACAGCAGAAGACAGTGATCAGGCTGCCTCTGCTATAAAAGTCCCATGACACAGATGACAGGATGTCACTCACAGAAAACAGTCAAATATCAGGTATCTGAAAGCAAACAGACACGATATGTGATTCTGCCACCTCCTCATACCCATGTGATTTAAATAATTACATGGCTTTTAGAAATAATTCATGTTTTTCAATATCCAGATTCTATTTCTCTTGTGTACTGTTTCTCCACTTGAAATTCATCAAAGGTACTTAAATGAAAATTCAAAAATGACGATGCTGTTCTGTAAACAGAGACTTCTGTAACCATGGCGGGGGACTCTGGAGCTCATCTTAACTCCACTACTTCTTTGGTGTTCTTTTTCATCCGGTCTACTGTCTTCCTGGATACTCTCTTCCTCTTTCCTCACCTTTCCTTCCATCTTCTCCTCCTCCTCCTCCTCCATCCTGTTGCACCCAGTTCTCCTCTTCCAAGCCACTTTACTTCCAACTCTTCTGTATCCCTGTTGGCTTTCCATCTCCTCTTCTCTACATCAAGTATAAACTTTTCAAATGCCCTCTCTCTCTACCATTTTCTTTGCTCTGTTCTCTACCTACCCTCAAAATATTCAAAAGTCAGGACCAGCAGATGGCATAATGGTTATGTCATGGGACTCACATATAGTCGACCATGGTTTGAGTCCTGGACCCAGCAGCTTAAAACTCATGCCAGTCGTGTGTGCGTGCATGCCCAAAATCCTGAGAGAAAAAGGGATGACAGTATGGCCACCCTCCCGGAGGGTGATTTCTCACTTTCTGTCTCTGTTTCTCCCTGTCTCTCCAGCAAGTGCTTGTGCCCTATAGCAAAAATCTCTTAAAAAAAAAAATTCAAAAGTCACTTTGGATGACTCACGAAAACAAAACTATAAAACAGTATTATAAAATAAAACACCTTAATCTGTATCTAATGTTTATATTAGTTTCTTTTATAGTTTACATTGGACATTACCTCCCCAAAGATCTGACTTATTTCAGGTGAAGTAATGAAATCTCCTTTTTCTCCTAGCATGTCACGGTACACATAATAACCCTGAGTGAAAAAAGAAAACGAAGAAAACAAATTAATCTTCATAGAAGGCTATTTACTTATTTATTTATTTTGCCAGAGGGCACGTGTATTTATCGAGAGAGAAAAAGAGAGGTAAGGTGGGAAAGGACCCCCACATGGGGGATGACCACACTGCTCCATTATCCCTTCTTTCAGGATTTCAGACATGTGCCCAGTATGTTTTTCAAGCTGCTGGGTACAGGACTTGAAATGTGTGGTCAGCCATGTGGGACCCAGCCATCCCAACCACCATGCCACCTGCTGGCCCCAAATGAGGCTTTTAAAACACCCCTCCAGGGATCTCTTTTTTTCTCTCTCTGTTCAGAAAGTACGTACATCCTCTAGTTAAAAAAAAAAAAAAAAAAATTCAAAAACACCCCTCCAAAATCTTACATAATATACCCAAAGAAATACAATAGTCCTTGAACAACAGAAGTTTGAAATGCGTGGGTCTGCTTATTATGGTTTCTCTTCCCCAATAAATAGATTGAAAATTACAGTACCTACTATAAACATATTTTCTCTTCCTTACATCTTTCTTAACATTTTCTCTAGTTTCCTTTATTGTAAGAATATAGCATATAATACATACATAAAAAGTGTTACCAATAAAGCTTCCAATCAACAGTAGGCTATGTGGGAGTTTTCAGGAGTTAAAATTTTCAACGGCATGGAAGGTCAGTGCACTTAACCCCCTACCATACAAGGATCAACTGCAATGATTTAGTAAGTTTTCTCCTCTAAATAAACAACATAAACACAATGTCTTTACCTAAATTTTACACACACATTTTACAGAACTGGCAGAAAAACTACTCCCTCTCAACCACAAAGATGAAGGGCATGCATTTTCACCTCTGCATTTCAGACCCTCCTCCCCTCCTGCACCCACAGCCTGCCGGACCTGCCTGCCCACCTGGTCTCCTCCCAAAATCCTAATGCTTGCTCTTTCAAATTAGCCCTTCCTCTGGTAATGTTCTATTTCTTGACCTGGGTGCTGGTGACATGGGAGAGTTCACTTGATGAAACTTGAAATCACTAAGTTGTAGTCTTCTAATCTGTGCACTTTACTGGAAGAAAATTAAAGCTCACCAAAAAGTTGGTTTTGGTAGGCCTGCCCTGTAGATTGGTGGTTGGGCAAGCCAGATCCCACATGGGCAGTTCAAATCCTGGCCCTGGCAGCTTAAAAAACAAAATCCCAATAACATGAAATGGAGAAGGGACTGTGGTGTGGCCATGCCCCATTGAGAGCTGTTTTCTCTTTCTTCTCTTGCTCTGTGCATGTAAATATACCCATATATATAAATAATGACTTCCTCTGCTGTGCTTCCTTACCCCACCTGGCCTCCTCCTGATCCCATTCCTTCAGTAGGACTCAAAGAATGAAATGCCTTCCTCCTCCCGGTAGGCTACCCAGTCCCTGCACCAGTGCTCCGGAAAGTCTCTCCTCAGACAACTCCCATAGGCCATTTTTACATCTCCTTTCTTTCACAGCTTCGACTTGTCTCTTTCAGCATTAGTAATAAATCAAGTCACTCCTATCTTTAAAAAAACGTTTTTTACTCCATATAACACCTGATCTCTGTCCTCTCGTTAGTAAGCACTGCAGGAGTGTGTAACTATTTCTGTGTTATGAACCACAGACGTCTCTGGTAGTCTACAGAAGCTTACCAATCCTACAGAACATTCATAGAATATTCTTAAATGCACAGAACTTGAAACACACAGGATTATAAAAAACAATTGAAAAATACTTCTCAAATGTTTTAAAAAGTATGATTTAATATATTTATTTACTAGTATATTGAAAAACAAAATCAAGCTGAAACTTAAAGTTCTGAAGTAGAGAGGCACATACTCCTCTGACATATCTGTGATTGGTGATGTGTGATATGACAGTATCAGTGATTTTTTTTTTTTAAGAGAGATTTCTGCTATAGGGCGCATGCACTCGTCAGAGAGACAGAGACAGAAAGCAATAAATCATCCTCTAGGGGGGATGGCCACGCCGCAATCCCTTCTCCTCCATTCTCCTCTCGGGATCCTGGGAATGCACACACATGCACCGGGCGTGAGTTTAAGCCACTGGGTCCAGGACTCGAACCACAGTCGGCTAAATGGGAGTTCAGTGACATAGCCATTATGCTATCTGCTGGTCCCGTTATCAGTGATTTCTAATCACAAAGCCACAGATATTACTGACAGCCATGTTTAAAACTGAAGAGTGCTTGGGCCAGCAGGTGGCACGGTGGTTAAAGGCACTGGACTCCCACATGACCAACCACAGTTTGAGTCCCAAACTTGGTGGCTTGCTTTCTCACTTTTCCTCTCTCTCACACTCTGTCCCTCTCTACTCAAATTTAATAAATAAATATTAAATAAAATAATTCTTTAAAAAAAATTGAAGAACGCTAAACTTAAGTTAGCAATTAATGAAATAAAGGTTTAATTCTTTTTCCATCCAAGTTCATGAACCCCCCTGATTTCCATGTAAGGGACCCTAGGTTAAGAACCTCTATTCTGGGACCAGCAGATGACATGATTATGTTGCTGCTCCCACACTGCCCACACAGTTCGAGTCCCAGACCCAGAGGCTTAGAACTCACGCCATGCATGTGTGTGTGCGTGCGTGTGTGTGTGTGTGTGCGCTTAAGATCATGAGATGAGAATGGAAGAGAAGGGATTGTGGCGTGGACATCTCCCCAGGAGACACTTTCTGTCTCTCAGGCGAGTACACACACCCTATAGCAAAAATCTCTCAAAAAAAAAAAAAAAAAAGAAAGAAAGAACCTCTAGTCTAAATTCTAGAGTTTCCTCAAGTCTTAATGGTGGGAAACCGTCAAGTCCCTAGGAACATTGTCCCTGGTTCCTTGATTAAACACCAAATATATATTGATGACAACTACATATCATTCCTAGTCTTTCTCCTGAACTCAATTCTCACAGCCAATCACCCACTTACCATCTCCAACTAGACATCACTGCCCACATAACAGATGGGAACTCCAACACTTGATGTAAACCCCAGCACACCCTACCTAGTCCTCTTCCTCTTAATGAGGCCCATAAAGGCACCACCTTCACCCAAATGCTCAAGCTAAAAAATCTAGGAATTAGCCTTGATTCCTCCCTTCCACACCAACCCCTCCGCAAATCCTGTCAGTCTAATACATAAGCAGGGTCTTCAAAAAGTTCATGGACGATGCACATTATAAAAAAAATTATGCATGAGGGCCCAGCAGATGGTGTAATGTTTACGTCACTAGACTCCCACCTAATCAACTGAGGTTCCAGTCCCAGACCCCGTGGCTTAAATTCATGCCAGGCGTGTGTGCATGCATGCCCAAGATCCAAAGAGGAGAATGGAGGAGAAGGGATTGTGGCATGGCCATCCCTCCTGGGGGGGGGGGGGGGATTTCTTGCTTTCTGTCTCTCTGTCTTTCTGGTGCTCTCTTCCCCCTTCTCTCTTATTCTCAGTCTCTCTCTCTCTCCCTCCCTCCCTCCCTCCCTCCACATCTTTCCTGCAAATGTACGCACCCTATAGCAAAACTCTACTAAAAAAATTATGCATGAACTACAAAAATTTTTGCACCACAATAAACTCATACTTTTATTCCATGTTTCTATGAACATTTTGAAGTCCACTCATATTTTTAAACCACCACACCTCACTCCATTTCCATTACATTAGTCTAAGCCACCTATCTTGTAGCCCTGCTCACAGGTACTGAAAGATCCCTGCCTTTAGTGAACTTCTGGACACTTGAGTCACTCCATTACATCCAACAGCCACAGGGCACAGATGTCATACTTCACCCAGCAAAAGGTGAGGTTCCTTTCTTTCAAAAAAAGATTTGTGCCTTTTTTAAGTTTATTTCTTCCACAAGCAATAAACAAAAAGAGGCACCCCCAACAGGGTCTTGACACCTCATTCCACCCCCAGCCTGGATCATGGGTAACCAGGTGCTTCGTGTAATGTGAGGTCTCCAGACCTAAACCCAGAACCCACCTGTGCTGCTTAAACTCAGAGAACACAGGTCCTCCCAAAAGGTGAAATATTGTAAAAAGAAAGGACTATGGGCTTTCACTAAACAGCTTTGTAGACCTAAGAAATTCGAGTCAGAAAGCTGTAACGGTACTTAATCCTAAAACAGCAAAGACCCAAATTCCACTCTCCAAAAAAGCCCAACCCGGAATATGTTCCCAGTGCCTTCTGAAGCCATCCTCCAACACAATCAGCTTGAAGATTTCCTCCTATACGCTCCTACAAACTTCAAATTCACCTATCTGATAACTCTTCATCCTTCCCCCTGCAGTATAATCAAATTAACCCCATCAGCTAGCCCAGGTAGGAAAGTCACACCTCCCCCTCTAAGTCTAATCAAGTCTCCTAAACACCTGTGAAATCTGCCCTCTCCTGTTTGTGGGCACTGCCGCCAACCTCACCCAGCCAACCCTGACCAATGGCAACTAACTCGTCTGACCCCTAGTTTTCAAGATGGCATTTTCTTTCGAAGCCCGCCCACCCAGGGAAAGGACCCTCGGGCTCGCCCCTCGCCAGTCTGCTAGACCGGGCCTAGTTCTCGGGCTCCCCGACCCATACCTTGGCTGGGTTGGTCAACACCTCCTTCATGTACTCGGCCACAGTGATGGGGCCAGTAGACTTTATTTTGTACATAAGATGCCGCAGCATCGGAGTCACCGGATTATGTTCTGCCGGCTCATTCCCGGAGCTGAAGTAGTTCCCTCTCCAAATACAAGGAATGGCTGCGAAATACACAGATCAAACGGGCTCATTACAAACCTCAGTACCCACGGGTGCCCAGCTTCGCTAATCCCTAACGAGCCCGGAGTCCGCCTAAGAGGCACTCAGCAGGGGCGCACTTCGCCCACCTCCACACGGCCTTTTCGGGTCTGAGGCTGGACTCCACGCCCCGCCCGGCACCCTGGCCTTCCAGCTGGAAGTGAGCCCCGAACCCCCAAAGTTCCCAGTTGACAGGCATCCAACAGCAACCAGGGTTCGGCTGGCAGGATGCCTACCCGAGCGCGCGGCCGCGCAGAGCCGGCCAGCCCCGGACCTCCACAGCACGCTCATGCTGAACCTCTCTCAGGCTGCGGTGCAGCGCCCGGGGGCGGGAACTGGGACCGCTTCCGGGGGAAGGCCCACCTAGCAGGAAGTGCGTATTAGGGAGAGCGGAAGTGAGCCCCGGATGGTGCGCGTGTGCTCTGCCAGCCATGGCGGCCACCAAGGAACTTTTGGAGTTCCATGCCAAGCAACCCTGGCGCGGAGAAGAGACAGTAGAAGATCCGGATGAGGAGGACGAGGAGGATAACCGTGAAGCCGACAATGGATTCTCTCTGGAAGAAGTGTTACGACTCGGAGGCACCAAGGTGACGGCCGAGGGAAGGGGGCATAGGCGCAGGGAGCCCGGAATGGTCCTGAGTTGGGGGAGAGGGAGAGCGCCCCGGGCCCAGATCCAAGCCCGGGAGTGTGTTTGGCTCGCACCCTGCACTGCCTTCCGCTGCTCCTTGCAAAAGAAAAGTTTCGAATTCAACGTCTTAGGTGGTGGCCATCCTTAGGATATAGGCGATCTTGTTATTGATGTAATACAGCCATCACTCCGTCAGGTTGCAGAGAGCACTTTCTTGGTTCTGACCTCTTAGCATCAGTGTTTTGTTTGCCAGTGGTTTTGAAATGTTATCTTCTATTCTAACATGGTAAACGAATATTCCCACTCCCCGTAAACTCAAATAATACTCCTTTTTTTGGATTGTGGATTTCAGTTAAGGAAGACAGACTTTGGGAGGGTGGAGAGTTTAGAGGCAGGAGAAATGCACCTGTAGGGAGCAGGTTCAGCTTGCTCTGTATTTGCGTTATGTTTAATTTTCTAATAGGTAATACATACACATGATCACAGCTTAAAAAGTCGTAAGATGTGATACTGTCTCTCCTACTACCGCCAGCCCTGCTGGGTTTTTTTTTTTCTTTTTTTTAAGAGGTTTTTGCTGTAGGGCGAGTACGCTTGCCAGACAGAGAGACAGCGAGAAATCACCCCCCAGTGGGGATGGCCATGCTGCAATCCCTTCTCTTCTATTCTACTATCTAGATCTTGGGCACGCACGCACACGCACCCACTGGGTGCAGGATGCGAACTGCGGTCAACCACATGGGAATCCAGCAACATAGCCATTACGCTAACTGCTGGTCTCAGCCCTGCTGTTAACCTTTCAGGATGCAGTTATTTTTATGAGTGTATTTTACATCTTCCAGGGCTATTCTGTACCTTCCCAAGACATACAGAAACACATACATATATGAAATGTGTGTACTATTTTTTACACAAATGGTGTCTATGTATATCCATACATGTTTTCAACCTTTTTTTTCCTTTATCGTTTTTATTTTTTTTAGAAGAGATTTTTGCCATAAGGCACGTGCACTCCTCCGAGACACAGAGCAAGACAGAGTGAGAAATCACCCCCTTGGGGGATGGCCAGCTGCAATCCCTTCTCTTCACCTGGGATTTGGGGCACACATGTACATGCACATGCACATGCGCCCGGTGAGAGTGTCAAGCCTCAGAGTCTGGGACTCATACTGCTATCAGACATGTGGGAGTCCAGCCTTAACCACTAGGCTACCTGCTGGCCCTCTTCCTTACTGCCTCAAAGATTCTTCTGTATTGGTGTATAAAGTTCTGTCATTGGATTTATAGCTGTATTAATCATTTTGTCAGTCTTAATTGATCTAACCTAGCTATTTGTTGTAGATATTTAGCTTGTTGCCAATTTTTTACCATTTTAAATAATGCTACAGTAAATAACCCCAAACATTTTTTTTTCATGCAAGTTATTTGTAATCTAAATTGTAAAAATGGAACTGCTGGGCCAGAGGATATATATCTGGTTGTTTTGAGAGAAGTTGGCAGATTGCTCTCCATAGAGGCTGCACCAGTTTACACTTCGATCTACCATGTGTGAGAATGCCGTTTTCTCTCCAGTCCCTCAACACCACCAGTCATAATTTTATCTTTGTTCATCTGGTAGATCTTTTTTTTAACGGAGGTATCATTGAAGTTTTAATTTAGGTTTCTCTGAAATGTCAGTAAGATTGAGCATCTTTTCATATTTGTGCAGAGCCGTTTTTCCCCTAGGAGCTATTCATATCCATTTCACATTTATTTGTTGTTTGTCACTTTCTCAATGATATGTAGTAATTTTTATATTAAGCCTAATTTATTTTATATGCATTACTAGTATTTTTCTCCAGTTTAATATTTGGCTTTAGATTTTTATATACATTTTATATTTAAGAGGATGATAAACTTACTAATCTTTTCCTTGCAGGCCCTGAATTTTATGCCAAAGTTAAGAAGTTTCTCTATTCAGAAATTATTTTTTAATTATATTGTACTTTCTCCTATTGTTTTATAGTTTTATTTCATATATATATATTACATATATGTTCTTATATATACTTATGGTTTTATTTCTTATGTATATGTATATATAGTTATATACTATATATTCTTATGGTTTCATTTCTTATATATATATATTCATAGTCTTAATATGGTTATTTATATATATTTTTATGGTTTTGTTTCTTATACGTACACTTTCATATATGTGTTTCATTTATTTGTTTATTTATTTGTTTATTTTTTTTTTTTTAGAGGTTTTTCACTGTAGGGCGCGTGCGCTCGCCAGACAGACAGAGAGAGACATAGAGACAGAAAGCGAGAAATCACCCCCCAGAGGGGATGGTCACGCCGCAATCCCTTCTCCTCCATTCTCCTCTCGGGATCTTGGGCACGCACGCACACGCGCCCGGCGTGAGTTTTAAGCCACCGGGTCCGGGACGCAAACCGCGGTCGACTACGTGGGAGTCCAGCAACATAGCCATTACGCTAACTGCTGGTTCCCTTATTTGTTTATTTTTAAACCATAGTAAGAGAGAGGGAAAAAGAGAGAGGCAGTCTTGACAGGGTCCCACCAGGGTTGTGATTTCCCTGCATCAGCCTCCCAGCAGCCAGGGTCACAGCTGCACCCAGCATGCCCAGGCTGATCCAGAAACCAAACCCAGGCTTCCCATGCAGCCTCCAGCCTCCTAATCGGTGGTGCCACCATGCACCACCACAGTTAGCCAAACATTTAAATCTTTGATCCATCAAGTGCGTGTTTTCTTTTAGGACGAGAATCAGTGCAACAGTATAGTAAGTCAATTTAGTTGGTTACAGAGGTACCGGTTGTGAATTAACTTTTGAAGTTTTAATAAACTGTTGGCCTTATATTTTTAACTTATGTTTTTATGCAGCAAGATTACCTTATGCTCGCTACTTTGGATGAGAATGAGGAAGTGGTGGATGGAGGCAAAAAAGGAGCAATTGACGACCTTCACCAAGGTGAATTGGAAGCATTTATTCAAAATCTTAGTTTGGCCAAGTATGCAAAAACTTTCTTAATTAAAGAAGATGAACCAACTAAAAAAGAAAATGCCAACAAAAGAGAAACAAAAATACCTAAAGTTGAAAATAAAAGGCAAAATGCAGTGGAAAGCGAAAGGACATCAATCAGTAAAGGGAAAAATAAGAAGAGGCCAGAACAACATTCTAATGAGAATGATAGTGCCATCCCAAAAGGAAAGAAAGATAAACAACAGGACATCTTTGAATTTCTTGAGAGACAGACGTTGTTACTCAAGCCTGGAGGTAAATGGTATGACCTAGAGTATAGCAATGAATACTCTCTGGAACCCCAGCCTAAGGATGTTGTGCTTAAGTACAAAAACCTGGCTCAGAAGCTGTATGAGCATGAAATCAATTTATTCAAAAGTAAGACAAGTAATCAAAAGGGAGGCTCTTCTACCTGGATGAAAGCAATTGTGTCATCGGGGACACTGGGTGACAGGATGGCAGCCATGATTCTTCTTATTCAGGATGATGCTGTTCACACCCTCCAGTTTGTAGAGACTCTTGTGAACCTTGTTAAGAAGAAAGGCAGCAAACAGCAGTGCCTACAGGCTTTGGATACTTTCAAAGAGTTACTCATCACAGATCTTTTGCCAGACAGCCGAAAGCTGAGGACTTTCAGCCAGAGGCCTTTCAACAAACTAGAACAGTTGGCCAGTGGCAACAAGGACTCAAGAGACAGAAGACTGATACTGTGGTATTTTGAACACCAGCTGAAACACTTGGTGGCTGAATTTGTGCAGGTCTTAGAAACTTTAAGTCACGATTCATTGGTAACCACTAAAACTCGAGCCCTTATAGTGGCTCATGAGCTTCTTTGTAATAAACCTGAGGAAGAAAAAGCCCTTCTTAATTTTATGCCAAAGTTAAGCAGTTTCTCTATTCAGAAATTATTTTTTAATTATCTTGTACTTTCTCCTATTGTTTTATGGTTTTATTTCATATATATATATTACATATATGTTCTTATATATACTTATGGTTTTATTTCTTATGTATATGTATATATAGTTATATACTATATATTCTTATGGTTTCATTTCTTATATATATATATTCATAGTCTTAATATGGTTATTTATATATATTTTTATGGTTTTGTTTCTTATACGTACACTTTCATATATGTGTTTCATTTATTTGTTTATTTATTTGTTTATTTTTTTTTTTTTAGAGGTTTTTCACTGTAGGGCGCGTGCGCTCGCCAGACAGACAGAGAGAGACATAGAGACAGAAAGCGAGAAATCACCCCCCAGAGGGGATGGTCACGCCGCAATCCCTTCTCCTCCATTCTCCTCTCGGGATCTTGGGCACGCACGCACACGCGCCCGGCGTGAGTTTTAAGCCACCGGGTCCGGGACGCAAACCGCGGTCGACTACGTGGGAGTCCAGCAACATAGCCATTACGCTAACTGCTGGTTCCCTTATTTGTTTATTTTTAAACCATAGTAAGAGAGAGGGAAAAAGAGAGAGGCAGTCTTGACAGGGTCCCACCAGGGTTGTGATTTCCCTGCATCAGCCTCCCAGCAGCCAGGGTCACAGCTGCACCCAGCATGCCCAGGCTGATCCAGAAACCAAACCCAGGCTTCCCATGCAGCCTCCAGCCTCCTAATCGGTGGTGCCACCATGCACCACCACAGTTAGCCAAACATTTAAATCTTTGATCCATCAAGTGCGTGTTTTCTTTTAGGACGAGAATCAGTGCAACAGTATAGTAAGTCAATTTAGTTGGTTACAGAGGTACCGGTTGTGAATTAACTTTTGAAGTTTTAATAAACTGTTGGCCTTATATTTTTAACTTATGTTTTTATGCAGCAAGATTACCTTATGCTCGCTACTTTGGATGAGAATGAGGAAGTGGTGGATGGAGGCAAAAAAGGAGCAATTGACGACCTTCACCAAGGTGAATTGGAAGCATTTATTCAAAATCTTAGTTTGGCCAAGTATGCAAAAACTTTCTTAATTAAAGAAGATGAACCAACTAAAAAAGAAAATGCCAACAAAAGAGAAACAAAAATACCTAAAGTTGAAAATAAAAGGCAAAATGCAGTGGAAAGCGAAAGGACATCAATCAGTAAAGGGAAAAATAAGAAGAGGCCAGAACAACATTCTAATGAGAATGATAGTGCCATCCCAAAAGGAAAGAAAGATAAACAACAGGACATCTTTGAATTTCTTGAGAGACAGACGTTGTTACTCAAGCCTGGAGGTAAATGGTATGACCTAGAGTATAGCAATGAATACTCTCTGGAACCCCAGCCTAAGGATGTTGTGCTTAAGTACAAAAACCTGGCTCAGAAGCTGTATGAGCATGAAATCAATTTATTCAAAAGTAAGACAAGTAATCAAAAGGGAGGCTCTTCTACCTGGATGAAAGCAATTGTGTCATCGGGGACACTGGGTGACAGGATGGCAGCCATGATTCTTCTTATTCAGGATGATGCTGTTCACACCCTCCAGTTTGTAGAGACTCTTGTGAACCTTGTTAAGAAGAAAGGCAGCAAACAGCAGTGCCTACAGGCTTTGGATACTTTCAAAGAGTTACTCATCACAGATCTTTTGCCAGACAGCCGAAAGCTGAGGACTTTCAGCCAGAGGCCTTTCAACAAACTAGAACAGTTGGCCAGTGGCAACAAGGACTCAAGAGACAGAAGACTGATACTGTGGTATTTTGAACACCAGCTGAAACACTTGGTGGCTGAATTTGTGCAGGTCTTAGAAACTTTAAGTCACGATTCATTGGTAACCACTAAAACTCGAGCCCTTATAGTGGCTCATGAGCTTCTTTGTAATAAACCTGAGGAAGAAAAAGCCCTTCTTGTGCAGGTGGTCAATAAACTGGGAGATCCTCAGAACAGAATAGCTGCAAAAGCCTCCCACCTGTTAGAGACGTTACTTTCTAAACATCCCAATATGAAAGGTGTTGTGTGTGGTGAAGTGGAAAGGCTACTTTTTCGCTCAAATATCAGCTCCAAAGCCCAGTATTATGCAATTTGCTTTTTAAATCAAATGGTCCTCTCCCATGAAGAAAGTGACCTGGCTAACAAATTAATAACTCTTTATTTTTGTTTTTTTCGGACTTGTATCAAGAAAAAAGATATTGAGTCAAAAATGCTTAGTGCTCTTTTAACAGGAGTGAACAGGGCATATCCTTACGCCCAGAGTGGTGATGACAAAGTGAGGGAGCAGGTTGACACGCTGTTTAAAGTGTTGCATGCCGTGAATTTCAGTACCAGTGTGCAGGCTTTAATGTTGCTTTTCCAAGTAATGAATTCTCAGCAGACCATATCCGATCGCTATTACATGGCATTATACAGGTGGGTAGATACCGTTCCATTCTTAAAGGTGAAGAACTACTTTTTTTTTAAAGAATTATTGTATTTAACTTTATTTATTCTTTTTTTTTTTTTTTTTTATTTTTACCAAAGAGGAAAAGAGCCAGAGAG